CCACACCCACCTCATCAAGCCAACTGCTCTCACCTGTGGATCATCACCTCCTGTCAGTATAAAGACTCCTGCTTCACAGACTCTCCTTGCCAGATTGGTCTTTGTCATACTCATGCAAGACTTCCCTACTACTCATGTTCTGTACGACATCTATTGCACGTCTGTCCGTCCTGGAAGAGGGATCCCTCCTCAGTTGCTCTTCCTGAGGTTTCTACTGTTTTTTTCTCCCATTAAAGGTTTTTTTTGGGGGGGGAGTTTTTCCTTATCCGCTGCGAGGGTCCTAAGGACAGAGGGATGTCATATGCTGTAAAACCCTGTGAGGCAAATTGTGATTTGTGATATTGGGCTTTATAAATAAAATTGATTGATTCATTGATTCCCAGCATTTATTCCTGGACTGCTTCCTTGTTGCCGACCTTGCCTGTCTCTGACTCTCCTGCTTCGTCTGCTCCCTGGTAAACCACTCAGCCTTCTGTCCCCAACCAAGAGCTCTGCTTCTACGTTCCTGGTGTCCCCATGGCTGTTTGGAGAGACGTCACCCACCTCTCCATAGTGAGATTACCTCTTCTGCTGTCTGTGATTTCCTGTGTTGCGGTTTACCTCCCTAGGTGGCTGCACATTCTGCTGTTGTGTGCGAACCACAGGATCCACTCATCATCATCGTTGTCAAGACCCTCACTGCCTACAGTCGGCTCCGCATGGCTGTGTTGTCTTCTCCTGTGTTTACTCCTGGTTCCAGACTCCTCCCTCAGGGTACTGTTGCACACAGTTGAACGGTTTAGCGTTTGTTTGCATCCAGCAGACGCCACTGACTCACCTGTTCACTGTTTTGGTGGGCCACACCAAGCACTCTGGACTGAACCTTTTGTTTTGACTGTCACTGTTTTTTTTTCCTCTGGCTTCAATAAAGACTATTATAAACTGTCCTTATTGTCTGTGCTGCTACATCTTGGTTCTAACCACACCCATGACAACTGCGATATTTTGTGTGGCAATATTATTGATACACAAATGCCAAGTATTGATCTTTTACATGTACATTATTAACTTTTAATACCACAATAATAAATCATGATGTTTTTTTCCAGGTGAGGTCAACGGAGCTAGCAGCAGTTGGCAGGAAGTTCATCAAAACAAAGATGGATGCCCCAAAGTATTCAGAAATGTGCCGACAGCTTTTAAATTAGACGTCTGGACTTAGTTTCGGTTTTAGCATTAGGATGAAATACTCTGGATATACTACAAACATGAGGGCTCACCTCACACTCCACCATCCAGAGATAGCGTTAGCCACTGGCAGCCAAGCTAATGCTAAACCTGCTCTGCTGAAAAATCAACCAACACTGGACACACTTAGCTTGACAGAACTACCATCCAACTCTGAAAGAGCTAAGAAAATAACACAGTCCATCATGGATCCTCTGGTGATTCCTACTCCTACTGAATACACAGGTACACACTGATATAGAGATAGATGTGAACACCTCTTCAATGTGAACCTCCTCCTCTTCGTCTAATTGTTCATTTTCCACTGCACAGCCCACATCTAAATAAACTATCATGACGTCTGACTCATTGATTAAACCTCCCTTCTTTCACCTTTTGCTTTATTGTCTATTTTCATTGCACAGTTTATTTGAATAGGTACCTCTCATCCCTGATCTTTCACATCTCCTCTCCATACTGATCATCCACCCACTAACTGCCTTCTGAGAGAGACAGCTTTTATTTAACTCACTTCCTTCATTACTTTTGGGTTTTATCACCTTTTCAGTTCTCAGCTCAGCGAGCTGACACTCAAATGTACTTTTTTAATTCTTCAGCTCTTTCCCACAGATGTTCACGAACTTCTGATGAGCATGTTGTACTCAGGTACCTGAAGTTACCTCATGAGGGCATAGCCCGCTGTCTTTGAAGCCGTCTTAGGTGATGGAGTGGCGCTGTGCCCTGTGGCCACAAAAATACAATGCCAGCTGAGATGAGAAAGAACACACTGCTGCGTCTCTGTGTAAAGATCGCAATCTACTGACTGGTGTTACACCTCACTGAGACTTACACCATGTAATGGAGTATTGCAGGGTCACATGGGGAAAAGATTACAGGCCCTGTCAAGGTGTGCTATGTGTCTCTCAGTCGCTCTCAGCTGTTCAGACTTTCCATAAATGATATTTGATGTGGGTGGAAGGTTAATGTTAAGTGGTTTGTTAGTTTCACAAACATCTCACTTTGTAATTTGCATCTCATACCTGCTAGAGACAAACAGCTACCTGATTGTCAAGTGTGTGCCAGCTCACATGATGAATACAAATAAGTTTGCAAAAGAAAAGCAAAAAGAAACTTGAGTTTGTCCTTCTCTTTTTTTACTTTAATAAGACTTTATCAACAGATACATGACCCAGCAGGAAATATTCACAGTCATCTTTAAAAAAAAAAAAGAAAATATGAATAAATCTTTACTCTTTTAAGTCGTATACATCCTGTAGATTAATAAATAGTATGGCATGACATCAGTATGTACAGTCAGAAACATTTACGAACAGAAATACATTCTTCAGAGCCAGGAGGCCGTGTTTTGAAATCCAGTGCAGATAAGTGGAGGCTGCTGCGGTGATTTGGACTGCTGAAACCATCTGAGTGTACAGCATCGAGTGTAGCATTACAAAGCGTCTATTTACATGTCAAAGCAAGCACGACGTCATCACTTAAAGACACCTCACTGATCCTCTTTGTCCAAAAGATACGATGATACACTTAACAAAATCACATTTGTTCCTCCACCTGTTGCATTATCTTTTACACATTTAAAGGAAAAGCTGTTTTTAAAAACAATCTTGTAGAGTAGTGTTGTAGGTCGGCACCTCTTTGGCACTTTAGAATGCTTCGACTTAGTTTTACAAATGATTATGCATGTATATTCACCCATGAAATTAGTTGCCACTGGGCAAACTTTTGGCAAATCAATGAAAAAAATAGGACATAAATTACATAACTTACATTGTGCATGTTTTATTTAACCATTGAAGTCACTCTGCCTGTTCTCGCTGGACAGTTTTGGGAGCAGTTTGTATCAAAGATGAGTCCACAGGGGCAGCTAACAGGTTGACTGCTCTTGAATTTTCAAAGTCACTTCACCTTCCCAAGGGGTTTGCATTATGTACCGAAGTTGAATATGCATAAAGAAGCATTAAGAATCTTGTCAAATTAGACAAATTACAAATCTGCTACATTTCCCCCATGCAGCTGAAATAAACAGAAAAGGCCCTGTACTTATGTGATATATCAAGGTATCTGACATCAGCACATGTAAGATGGCTAAAATCAACAAAGTTTCAACGGTGCACGAGACTCAGAAAGCTGAGGTGTTTATGGCCTCTGACTTGTTGATTTTTACAGTAACACCAAACAGCTTTCTTTGTCTTATGCACCAAACTGATAACTCATTACTTCTTAACTCAACGACACCTTCTCAAACCCTCCTCATATGCAGCGGTTGTTTTTTCCTTACAGATGATTTTATTTTAAGTAGCAAGAGCCTTCAGGAAAGATGATCTTTTCATAAATCAAGGTATATGCAGCAGAATTGGTGCTACATGACCAAAGCAAACAGAGGAAATGGGCTGTGGTATCTGCCTTTGATCAAGACGCAGAAAACCTACAACTACCAGAATGCATTGCACCACACCGGACCAATAAATGCCCCTGCTGGTGGGTGATGTAATGCAAGCATGGCTGTTTTTCCACAGGAAACAAAATGGCTGGCTGGTTCCAAACAATCTCAAATTACAGTTAAATGGTAAGCTAAAATATGTCTCTGAAAATGTTTTAGGCAAGAAATAGGCAACACAGTGACACAGGTTCTTATTGGTTCTTATTTTATCTGCACTGCCTAGTTTTACTGTTTGATCTCAGTATTTTAAGCCTCTACTTTACAAAACGGGAAGCTGTATGGCGCCTGCTTCTTTGTTTATAAATCAAAATGGGCACTTTAATGTGTGTCTGAAGACATTTTAGGCAAGAAGTAGGCAAAACAGTGTCAGAATCTTGGGTCCTGTTTATACGACAACGATTTCAACTGAAAATAGTAAACTTAAGTTGCGTTTTGGCCGATTGTTTACACGACAGCTGGGTTTTTGGTGCCTGAAAACGCACCGTTTTGAAAACGGGTTCCAGAGTGCAATTTGCAGTCACTAGGCATGCGTGACAAAGTTGACAGTGGCGGACTCCTGAGCTCTGCTTGTGCTGCTCACCCTATTGAATTTATCAACGCTTCACCATCATAGTGTAGATTAACTGTAGCAACTCCACCTCATCGTCCGTCCAGACAAACGTTTGTGCAGTTGCCATTTTGTTTGTTTATACATCGCCGCTCTGTAGAAGGACACGTGAGCATCACACCGCCAACTACTGGCCTGGCATGTATACTGCAGCGTTTTTGGTCATTTTTGCGGCTCCATGTGCACGGAGATTGTTATCAAAACGTTGTCCTCTAAATGCAGAACTTTTTTCAAAACGAAAAAGAGAAACGATTCTGTTTTCAGTGGATCGTTTTTGTGTAAACATGGTTTACATTTGATCAGATGTGCTTAATTTTACTGTTTGATCTGAGTTTGAGAAAATCGAGGGAAGGTTTCTGTCTCGATCCGTTTCTATGCCGTTTGTGATTGCGGGTATACGAAAATGCGAAAGTACAATCTGTAGTGCAGCAACAGCCCCAGCGAAACGCGTTATCCAGTTGATTTGAGCTGAGAGATGAGCAGGGGAGAACTGGGCGCTGGTAAGTTTACCACAGTTCATTTGCACACACTACTCACATTGTTGTGACATAAAGCTGGTTGAAAATCAGCAAAGCATCCCTTAAACAAGATTAAAGTAATTTATACTTACGAAAAACAAACATAAAGATATAATAATCTTGGGAATGTTTGCATTCAATATGTTTTGTAGCCCCCATGAAGCAAACTCCAACCTTGTTGAACCCCACTGCTGTGCAGCACATGGCATCACAGGAATATTCATTCTCTTAGTTTCAGGACATGAACCCAAACCCCGTTGGCCTGTCTTGGCAGCGTCGACACAGCAGGGACTTCCATTTCCAAGGTAGGGGGCAACGAAATGTAATAACAGTGACAAAGTACATTTACATCTTCACACTCTAACAAATAACAGAAATCACATCCTGAAGAACAACACCTGGCACACAATACACACATGCAAATCTCTCTTTATATCTCTCTCACACTCACTCACTCACTCACACACACACACACACACACACACACGCACACAAACACACTCACACACACACTGCACCGCTGCCACTCCCTGAAGGAGTGCAGACCAGTGCCACAAATTCTACAGTGCTTTCTTTGTCATCCAGAGTATGAATACAATATAAGGCAATTGTAAATGTCTATTATATTTATATGTGTGCATGTATTCCGGGCGTGTGAGCCCCCATGTTGTTCACATTTGGATCAGTACAAGCACTTGAGGCTGGTGTGTGTGTGTGTGTTTTCCACTCCACCAGTGGTGCTTTTGAAATGCTGCTGAGTGTGTTGTATGAATACTGGATGGCACTTGCTGAAATAATCCAACAAGAAAATGAACTGTTTGACAAAAATCGAAGTTCTATTGATGCGTGCTGACAAAGTAGATAGAGGCTTACAGCTTTTTGTGGTTTGCACTTTTCTCATCCTGTTTCTTTTTGTCCCAGTTGAATAAAGGCAAGTGCTGCACTCACATGTGCAGAACAGTTTTTCTATTAGGCCCTGACAGAAATAATGGCTTTGGGTGAGTGTTATCATCTTGTGACTGATAGTTTTTCAAATCATATCCACACTTTTTTGACAGTCATGCGTTTAGAAGCTAACTGTGGATTCCGTCCAGCCGTTTGAGCCGTCTCCCTTCATGGTGCTGGCTGTGCGGCCTCTTGTAGGCTGACTGTCGGTCAGGCCGAAGAGGCGCGCCGCTGCGCCCCTGTACTTCCAGGACATGGTGTTGTAGAGGATGGGGTTGATGGCGGCGCTCAGATAGAAGAGAACCACGGACACCAAACTGCAGTACTCGGACAACACAGACAGCAGCGGGGACGGTGCGTCCAGAAAGCGGAACTGCAGGTAGCGACCCACATGGAACGGCAACCAGCATAGAACGAAGGCCAGGACCACCACCACTGACGGAGGGAGGAGGATGAGCAGGTGGGGAGGAGGAGGAGGAGGAGGAGGAAAAGGAGAGGGAGGGGTGGAGAGAGGAGTCATTAGTGTAATCGTTGCTTAATATAGATGAATGTTCACTATGATGACAAATTCAACCTGGACGAGGTGAGGCCCTGTGTGTGTGCGTAATCTGCGCGCTCTCCAAACTTACCCAGCATCTTGATGGTCTGCCTGTTGCTTTTATCCCGGTGAGCCACACGGGAGCTGATGTTTGTCTCTCTGTGCCTCTGCCACAGCCTGCGGCCTATGAGGCTGTAGAGCACTGTGAGACAGAAGACCGGCATGAAGAAGAACACAGAGCTTAACCACACCATGGCCCCCATCAGGCCCGACTCCACTGCGTAATGCGTCATCTTACACTCCCGGGTGTCCGTTTCCTCCGGGGAGAAGCCAGTCTCATTCATTCCCGAGCTGTAATCTGGCCACATACTGTCACGCTCCACTCCCACCATGACAAACACAGGCCCGGCGCTCAGCAGAGACACTGTCCAGAGTAGCAGAATGAGGGCGCGCACCCGCCTTTTGGTAACCAGGGCCTTGGCACGCAGCGGGAAACAAATGGCCAGGTAGCGCTCCACTGAGAGCGCAGTGATGCTCAGGATGGTGGAGTAGGTGCATGACTCTGACACGAACTGAAAGAGCTTGCAGAGCGCGGCCCCAAACCGCCAGGGCCTGTACCTCCACATCCGGTAAAGGTCCAGTGGCATACAGAGGAAGATGAACAGGTCTGACACGGCCATGCTACACAGGTACAGGTTAGTGGTAGTGCGCATGTCCCTGTACTTACTGACCACCAAGATGGTCATGACGTTCCCGGTCACCCCGATCAGAAACAGCAGCGTGCAGGCGACGGTGATGACAGTGAGGAGAGGGATTGAGTAGTAATTAAGAGGAGGCAGGCCAAGGTCAGCGTTCCTTGTGGCGTTGTGGGTCTCCTCCCAGCTGCAGTTATGGGAGAGGCACAGCGAGAGATTGGGCCAAGAGGGCATGCTGTCGTTGCGCGGTTATTCACGGGGCCGTGCCTGGCCCTTACTGCTGAAGGCACCCCGGGTCTGGGACTCCTCACGCCCATTGACGCTGCCCTTTCCTCCCATCATCAGTGTTTGAGGTGCAGAGGTGATGGCACAGATTGGCAGCCGTGCGTAAAACCAAAAAATCCTTGCGTAAAGCTTGTTTACAGAGAAGGGTAAACAAGTTGCAGTTATGAGCGGAACTTCTGAGGACCTCCAGTGAGCAGACAGTCCTCTGCAGAGTCTGACACAAACACCTGGCTATTTTAGGTAACTCCAAATTATCCTCTTCATCTGAAACACGCACTCGAAAGTGGTCCAGTAATATTTGGTGCTTGTTCAAAAGAGGTGTGGGCGTGCTGGGTTCAAAATAAGCTACATGCTGGATATTTTGCGCATCACCAAACGAAATCAATGCGGATTCTAATCAAAATAGATGCAGCAGAAAAAAAAAAAATAAAACACAAACATCTGTTGAACTAAAAACATTTAAAATAAAAATCTAACTTAAATACAAGTTATCTCCCGCGTCCTTTCAGTCAGTGAGAGCCACCAGCAGCTGAGTGCTTTGGGAAAACTGAACCGTGAGGATCCTTCATGCGCCAGACAGTCCCAAAGAGTTCCCATCACCAGCGGCGCGGATCGGCAGACGCACCGGGCAGCAGCAGCAGCATGTGATGGTGAGTCAGAGGCAGGGTCGCAATGATGCGGCGGCAGCGGTGAACATCTGTCCTGGAAAGGACACAGGAGCTCAAACTCGGCCAAAGACGAACGGATAAACAACCACCACAGTGAAAACAAACACTGTGTGACGGAACGGAGACAGTTTTGTAAAAGTCACAAGCACCACGAAGGAACGTCGCATTGTCAACATGATCATGCAAATAAGACTTTGAAGGATTTAAGTGGAATAAAAGTAGTTGAGAAAGACGAAGAAATTCAGCCTGGCTCTCCAGTTCTGCTCCTCTAGTTGTGGTGCGTATCCAGTGTGTGGATCCTGACTCCCAGTGAGCAAAACATCATATAGGACAGGTGAAGCGGTGCTGCTCAAGGGAGGGTGGTGTGGGGGTCTACAGAGAGTCGAGTGCTGCAACGCCACCTACAGGTGCTTTAGCGCAGTGATAACAGGGGGTTGATGCTCACCAGTTTCACAAAATCTGTTTACCATTAAGTCTTGCAGAGAGCAAACGGGAGAGAAGGGAGACCTTTGAGCCTCCGTGCAGGATCAGGATCAATTTAGTCATCAGCATCAAATTGTAAGATCCTATCTGGCTCTTGCTTCTTTAAATGATCTACTTATTGTGATTAAGGTTTCGAAAGTACAGTTTTTGCCCTGTGGAGTCATATATGTGATGCTTACTATCTCAGAGCTGACCTCTGCCCAGATAAGATCATTTAACTCCACTGCCTCAAAGACTTAAATTACATTATCGTGATGTCCGGATTTAACTCAAGGCTCCAATTGGCCTTTTGCAGAATGAGAAAAGGGGCCGTGACCATCCCTGTTACCAAAGTGTTTGCAAATGTGTCACCTGCTGCAGAGTTTTATATGCAAAGAGCATTTAAAGCAGGTTGAGACACATAAACTGCAATTTATAGCACATGGAGAATATCCATAATTCAGCCAGAACAAAACTACTGCACTATATGATGACATGAAAGCAGAATGACTTGAGTAACTTACTTAATGACACATAGATATAGAGTGTATCACCTCCTAATAACTGGCAAGATGACTGGCTATTCTGCTGAAGGCAGCAAGCAGTAACTATGGAAACAGTAAGTTGAGAAAAAGGGTTTGAAGGTTCTCAGCCAAACCGTGTAACATATAAATTCTTAAAATACTGTTAAGAATAAATTTTCATAAACTACTGCACATAATGTTTGAGCAATGTAAAATGCAGAATGTTATTTTTATTGTATCTTATATTTAATTTAATTTCAATTTTAATTTAAATTTCATTTTTAATTTAATTTTTAATTTTTAATTTTTAATTTTTAATTTTAATTTAATTTTTAATTTAATTTTAATTTTAAATACTTTATTAAGTATACTTAAGTATACTTTATTATTATGTAACTGTGTAACAAAATTAATCCCTGACTCAGACCAAAGCAAGCGAGCTCTAGATCTGAAAGCACCCTTAGTTCCATTACTTTCTTCTCTGGAGCAACTGCTGGGTCAAGTGCAACACCTGGTGGAAAAATTTAGCATACTGGCCCATGTTTGACTTTTATAAACCGGTTCAAAAATTTGTTTAAAGTCACGTAAAGAGGTCTGGATGAAAACCAGCGCCTCCAATTTTGATGCCAACGATGGATCGCTCTCTCCAAGCTGTGAGTGAGTTGCTGCCCCAAGGGAAGGCCTTGTCTTGTGTACCAGTGAGAATAAAGTAAGGACTGGCAGGCAGATTGGAGAGGACTAAACGGTAATGCAGGCATTGTATTGGACCATTGCAGTGAAGAGGGAACTGAGCCTGAAGGCGAAGCTCTCAATTTACCAGTCGCTCTACGTTCCAACCTTCACCTATGGTCACGAGCTTTGGGTGGTGATCAAAAGAACAAGATTGCAGATACAAGCGGCTGAAATGAGTTTCCTCTGTAGGATAGCTTGGCTCAGTCTTAGAGATAGGGTAAAGAGCTCAGACATCCGGTGGGAGATCAGAGTAGAACTGCTGCAGAACCAACTGGTGGGAGTGCCTGGGGATCTCTCAGGAGGAGATGAAAGACATTGCTGGAGTCAGGGACTAACTCGCTGAGCCTGCTGCCACTGTGATCCAGCCACAGATAATCTGCAGGAATTGGGTGTATGGACGGATTTCATGAGTTTCATGAGCCAGTAATATGCATTGGAACATGAAGCGTCTCTGCTTTCTTCAAAGCTATTTATATCTAACACATCTTTTTACAGAGACATGCATTGTAGGAGCTTTTGAACTAAAAGTTTGTGACCAGGCAAAAATTCTAAATGAAAGTGAAATGGCCTGAAAAAGTTTGATACATAATGCATGGTATATTGGAGAAGAGCTGTTCGATGTGTTTTTATTTTAATGTGTTTGCACTGAAGCTCAAACTGGTCTGCACCTCACTGGTTTTCTGCTTCAAAGTAAAAGTTGCCAAATAATCTGAACGCCTAGAAACACCCTAAAATAAGCAGTCAAAGCCTAAAAACACAAAGATTTTCAATCTTCAAGTAAAAATTCTCTTTTTTAAAAAAGTGTGAATGATCTTCCTAAGCTACCAAAATGTCTGAAGTCAATTCCCATCCCAAATTGATTTCTCTAACAGCTGGTGTGCATCAGTGCACTGAATGATTTACAGCTAGATCGAAGTCTGATTGTGGTTCTTTGTCTGATTTCTGAAGACAAAGAAAAATACCAACTGAGCCACCACAACAGCAAAGAAAAAGGACCGATTCCTGTCAGTCACCGCCCTGCTGTGTGTGGAGTCATTAAGTCTTTAAAGAAAAGAAGCTAGTTTGAAGAGGTCCAAAGGTGCAGATAACCAACAAGACCGCCAGTTTATTTTCTCCAATGATCAATTTGTGGATGTAGGTGTGGCGTGGGGTGGTTTGTGTTTGTGTGTGTGCTCTCAACCAGTGCTCTTTGTTATGTTATACTGTGCTTCATTTGTTTTCTAAGTTGAAAATCCCCCTGAGATTTAATGCAAATGAGTTGACTTTTTAAAAGAAATCATGTTGTGTGTTCAGACAGCTAACAGCCACTCTGCTGCTGAGCTACTGCGAGGTGGCTGAGGCGAGCTCGCCGAGTGAATGGCACTAAAGCAATTAGCATGTCCACTGCCTCCTGACATTCTGTGTGTTGTGTGAGGAGTATCTAATTAAGAGGGAAAAAACAAAACATTGTGCAATATCTCTGGTGTTAACGCAGCTGTGTGAAGCGAGCCAAAAAGAAATCTAGCAAACTCCCAGTTTTCATCTGGATTTTAAATCTGTGTGAGATGAGATCAGTTTCAAACACATCTAACATCTAATATAAAAGAGCCCCCTTTGTGTTATTACCTCAAATGATTGACAATTAGGCACTGATTTATGCACTGATGAACTGTGCGATGAGCAGTAGAATAATATTATTTCCTCCATGACTAATATTCCAAGAAACCTTAGTTTACACACTTCCTCTAGAGCACACAGTGAAAATGTAGATATCCTGTACTGGGTGAAAATCTGTGACAGTTCATTTTAAAGCAAAAGAGCACTATCAAGATCAGATCGTTTATCAGATGTTCTGTGAAAAAGTGGCCACGACACATGTGATCTAGCAGTCCATTGGAAAAAAAGATCAAGAGGACACAGATAAAAAAGAGTTTCTCCATGCAGCGATGAGTCTAGTGAGAGCCAGAGATTGACTGTGGAGGTGTTTGATGAACCAGCGGTGAAATTACTCTCACTATTCCACTCCCCCCTCCAGCAGAAGCACAACTACCATTGCCACCTCCACACCTGGCAATTGAGAGAGAAAAGCTGATCAGTCATGGAACAGTTGTGAGTGAGTGTGTTGGTGCGAGTGTGTCTTTCTGGCAGCCCGCGCTTTCTTGTGGGCGTGCATGTCCGCGTGCTCGTCTGCGGGAGGGTTTCATTATCCATTGGCTGATCCCCTACAGTAGCCAGATAGCCTGATCTCAGCATCAGTCTCTCAGACTCTTAAGGGCCACAGCTAAGAGATTTCTTCTGTGGCACCGAGCTCAGGCAATCAGAACTGGGATATCCATCAAAGAGCTGGCCACACTGTCGTGTGCAGCTCACTGAGCCGATTTTGAGCCTCATAATACTTTCCAAATCATCACTCCATTAGCGGGAGAGAGGTAAATAGGGAGGGGGCAGAAAGATGAGGTGAGGAGGAGGGAGAAGAAGTGACAAACGAGACAAAGCTCATTGATTTTTCCCTTTAGAAAGGATCATTCAGCGCAGCCGAGCGTGTTTGGTGTTTTTTTTTTTAGAGCTCTTGAATGACGGGACAATAGAAGAAAGACCCCGAGGGCAGGTGTCTAACAGACCGGCCTTCAACAGAAAAGTCAATTATGCTCAGAATATCATAAGAAAAAGAACATTTATAGAGACCTTTAAACGCAAAAATTTTTCCGAATACAGCCAACCTTATTAATTACAAGCCTCACTACTTTGTGACAACACCAAGATGCCAAGTTGCAACACATTAACTGTGACAGATGCTTTCTTTACAACACCCTCATTGCTGGCCAATAAGCATTTACAAGCTAGTTTGGGATTTTATGATCTCTGTTTATTCAGATACATTAAGTCATTACATGCGATATTCCATACTTCATAAACCTACGAAATTACAGCGTCGAGGAGGTCAATCTACCGTCTGAGACGTTAACCCCGAGATCACTCTTACTTGAAGTTTTATCTTGAGTCATGATAGGAAAGAGCTCACTAAGCAGATTACACCATTCTGTAAAGTTTTACAGACGTTTAAAATCCAGCATTACCAGACATATACTACATTATGATAAGCCTTATCGCCGCAGATAGATACAATGTATGTTGCATTTGTAATTTTCCAGAGAGAGATTTTGCTCTGCGTTGCTAATTAGAAAAAGAAAACCCTATAGAAATGCTGTCGCACCATAAGATTAACGCTACATCCATTTAAAATCTGACTTCCCTTGTCAAGGCCATCCTGGCAGTTACAAATTGGGTACCAGGTGTCTTGTGGGCAGCAGACAGAACGTGGAGGAGATAAGCACAGCCTCGCCTCCCTGCCAAAGGACACGGCAGATTATGAAAAAAAAACTCATGCATATTCTGCAAAACCCATTGCTGAGGAGACAGCTACTCCACACTGACTTTCTGTAGAAGACTCCAGACCACAGCCCACACCCCCAACCCCCCACAGCTCCGGATACGTGGTCATAAAATAGAATTTCATGGCTTCGGGGGTTATGCAGAGGGCTAGTAATTGTTCTGCTAG